AATTTTATGTTAAATTGAAAAGTTGGAGTCAAGTCGGCAAAATTCTACAATGTAGTAGGTGGTTCAGAACTCCTCTTTGGCCTAAAAATAAGCTTAATGTTTAAACCTCATTAAAATAATGGGATCTACTTTTACTGCTTCTTTGTTAGTTTTGTTGGAAAAATTAGGTTGACATATTTTTAAAAATATTTTTACGTGTATGAGTGTTTTGCTTGCATGCATGTAAGTGTACCATGTGTATAGTGCCTGCAGAGGTCTGAAGAAGGTACCAGATCACCTGGGATGGAGTTATGGATGGCTGTTAGCCACCATGTGGGTATTGGTAACCAAACCAGGGTCCTCTTCAAGAGCAGCCAGTGCTCTTAACCACTGAGCCATCTCTCCAGCCCAGTGGTCATTTTATTTTAAATTGCTCATTGTAGTTTGAGTCTACCGAAGATCCCGTCTTAACAGTTCTCCATTTGCTATAGAGTGGTCTTGTCCTGGAGCCTGGTAGTGAGGTACTAGGTACAGATCACTAGATTTTTACCTACTTTAAAATCATATGCCACAAAGCCCTGTTTTCCCAAGGTACATTCTGTACTCCAGTAGGGCCTGCCTGTTCCCCATCTCCTGGACAGTGGAGGGCCTGACCTTGGGGAGCTAAGGAGGGAGCCCCTGGAGAAGTATGCTGTGTGTGGTCAGTAAAGAAGAGAAGTTAAACGCCTATCATAGCTCATCTCAGTCTCAAGGGCCCTCCTCGGCCCAGAGAATCATTCTCAGTGTCATGGTGCTGGGCCAAGGAGCACAGGTCTGGCTGGTCCTTGCTGCCCTTGGTTATGTGACCATAATGTGCAGGACATCCTCCAGAATGTGATTATATGATGCCCACCAATGCAGAACCAAGAACAAGATCATGTAGTATGACTGTGGCGTTTCTGGGAATCTGGTTATTCTCTGAGAACTTCACAGTCATGTGTTTTCCTGGGACTTCTGTATCCTGTGGATTTCATCTGTGCATCTTTGTGACTATAACAGACTGCTTTCCCTTCCTTTCTGGGTTCTGACATGAGAGCACTTTGAGACTGTTTAGCATGTGCCTGAGTTAGGTGACTCCTGGCAGGGCCACATGTACAAGGGCTCTTTTGTGGAAAGGGTAATAACAAGAGGGGAGATCTAAACTATCCTTTTATTTAAAAATACCGTTGTGCCTGCTTTTTGAAGGCGATTGAAGCAGGTGGAATTACCTGATGCCAGTGGCCCAGGAATAGACCTGGTGGTGCCATTATCTGTAGACACCGCCACTATAACTTTGGGCACTCTTTCTCTGAACCTACTTGCTCACAGATGTTTGTGGTCTACAGTCCTTGGCTTTGTGGCTCTGTCCTCAGAAGCCAGTTTGTCTCCCCATCACAGTTGGGAGCAGCCTCTTGGAATGAAACTGATAGGGGACATGGCTTATCCCCATGCCATTTATTCTTTGGACACAGTGTTGTGATTTGAATTTTCTACTAAAGGACAGGGACATGTCACTGTTCAGTGTTCTGGAGCTGTCCTTACCATGGCTCAGTGTCACTGGCTGGGAAGAGCCTAGATCCCCATTCAGGTTAGACCTCTCTACTGACTGCTGACTATAAGGACAGCCGAGTGAGGATGCAGTTTAGAGACTAGAAATCTCTTGGGGTTGTTCCTGATTCTGTCCAGCTAGCTAGGCTTTCTCCCTGATATCCCCATCTTGACCTGGGGTGATATTCAGCCTCTGTAAGACACTGTCGTCTTTAGGCGATGTCTTTTAGAGGTGGCGCTGATGCCAAGTTCACACCAAACATTTGGAGTGTTTTCACAGCCCTTGTTACCTGGTCTTCACTGTTGAGCAGTCCTACTGCTGAATGGAAGCATAGGGAAGGGAGCTGGCAAAGGCTGAGGTACTTATTTAAAAGACCAAGCCAGGGCCAGGCAGCTGGCCTCTATCCGCTCCTTCCCTCTGTGCCACTTCACAGTCCTCCGAAGTATGCTGCTATCTCTGACTGTGGGAACCTCTTGTTTCTTTCTATTCTTCTGGCTCTCAGAAGACCATTTTAGTGGCTGTTTAAAATGTAAACTCTGTAGGTAAGACCAGAGGTGAACACACCATGGGTGGGCAGGGCCCAAGAGTGCAGCCTGATGACCCGTGCTGGCTCGTCCTGCTGCTGGGTGCAGGCAGCATGTCTGTAGGAGAGGTCTGTAGATGCCTGGGTAGGACTCCCCTGCTGCCCCGCCCCATCCAGGCCTCTCCCTCTCCCTCTTCTGTGCTGCTTTGGGGAATGCCTGTCCCTTCCAGCTAATCTGCCCTGTGCCACTGGCCAGAAATGACCATCTTTCCCTGAATGCTATTAGTGGACACGTTTGTAGACTTGGTTGATTTTTTTTGAGAGCCCTAGCAGGTCACCTGGGACAGGGACTATAGGACCCCTTCAGTCTCCAGTGCCTACCACCTGCTCAGTTTGCCCAGGAGAACTTCACTGGACATGACCACAGCTGTGACTAGATAGCTCTAACCAGAGCCCAAAGTCCTGCAGGGCTCTGGCATCAGGCTACTTCCATAGCAACAGGGCAGCAGAACCAAGGAAGCCCACCCTGAAGGATATGGGGACACCGTGCGTGTGAGGCCAGAGTTGTACTCTCTGCCAGCGGCTGGGGTTAACCTTAGTACAGAGTATGGTAGGCTGAGAACTTGCCCGGGTTTCGCAAGCCGGACCCAAAGGACAGCTGCCAGCCCATTTTCCTTATGTGCGTGGCATGTGTAAGCTCACTATTTTGCTCAAGTTCTTGTGTTTTGCTGAAAGCTATTTTGGTGAGTCAGTACCTGAGCTGCAGAAGGAGAACACTCACCTTACAAAACTGCACAATTACTGTCAGGTTTCCTTCACATTCTTGGTATGATGTGACTTGACATTCCCCTGCTAGGTAAGTGGCATATTGTGATTCTGATTGGACAAGCTCAGAGCCTTCTACAATCCCACCTCCTCATTTCTGCCTGGTGCTGTAGTAGTTGATTGTGGAAGCTGGTGACAGGCCTTCATGGAAAATAGGGCCAGGAAGCTGCAGACCTTTGGTCTGAGAAGGGCAAGGAGGGGCCTTCTGTGCAGCTTAGGCCCTTCCGAAAGCATGGAGCTTAAGGAAGTGTGTGGCTGAACTGACCTGACTTTCTCCTGGATGGAGGAGGATTCTCCAGGTGATCCCCTGGAACTGACTTGGCAGATATAGTACTGTACAGAGTTCCCAGGTTGACTCAGGCCCCACTTTTGAGACATCACCCAGCAACATTGGGAAAGTATCTCTGGATATATACCCATCTATCCTCCACAGGCCTTGTTGGATTTATCGTGAGAGTCAATTTCTACTAAGAAGGGCAGCCATCTTGCACACTCTTGCACTGAAACCACACCTGTGCACACTTAACACACATGTATGTGGACCACAGACAGCACACCTGTATATACTCACGTGTATGCTTAGTAAACTTAATGTGCTAGTTCACATGCTCACACATAGGTGAGGGGCTGGCTGCCCACACACATGCCTCCCTTGCCCACTTGAGCACTAGTCAAATTCTGCTCAGGAGCCAGTTCACCTAAGACAAGACCCTGGGCTGCCCCTTTGCCTCAGCTTCCTCCCCTGTACATTTCCTTCTACATTGTAAGGGTTGTGGCCTAGTGTAAAGCATCCCAAAGAGCCCTGAACACCTGTTGTTTCCTGTCGTGGCTGCACTGTACCCGTGACTGCGTGGCTGGAATGATGTCCCAGTCGACTTCCCCTCACACTGATCCACATACTAGGAGAGAATGCTGTGTCAGATTTTCTCCATAGGACGTTCAGCAGGCCAGCTGGTTACCAATTCTCTGCTCATTGCTCCTGGCCACTCCCCTTCCTTCCATGATAGGGCAACACCAACGAAGTGCCCACAGGGTACCCAGCCACTCATGCAGTGGGGTTGGGGACGGCACTCAGGCTGAGGCGGAGGAGCCAGAGGCCCTGGAATGCTGCTTGCTGGGGCTGAAGGCAGGGTTCTTGTTTTCCTTTTCCAGCATAGCAACGCCTGCTTCTCTCCTGTTTGTTCTGGGTATGTCTGGAAATCCCTATTCATCTCGGTAGTGGGCAGCTTGTTACACTCCTGTTAGCTGATGACAGTGTTTACCTGCAGTTTATCTGCATTTATCATAAATGCTGACCATTTCTCATTTACTTTTTGTATTTTAACTATTTGCATGTTAAATATTCTCATGTCATCAGACTTGTCACGTTTTGACATGTGAGCTCTGATGTCTACACCTGATACCCAAACCTTAGATGTGCTGTGGCAGTGTGCATGTTCATAGCCATTGCTCCATGGTGCAAGCCCTGGGATGTCCCCCACATCCCTTCCCTCAGCTCTCTGTCTCCTCATGGTTTCTGGTCTTTGTTTCCCTTTTTAGAACTTGACAGTGATAGCCTGTGTTGATTTCCCTGTGCCCTTGCCTGTGTACATGATGCCAACACTGGTTCTGTCGAATTTGCAGGATGTAACTTGCTCGGTTCTTTGCTTGTCAGTGATTACTTGTTTGGGGGCCAGGCAGTGCTACCATCTCTAACCACCTTGAGGGCCTTGGATCCACCTCTGGGCCTGCTCTGTATGTTGCAAGCACACTTTTAAAGTGGACTGTTGGTGGCTAAGTCCCTAAGATGGGATTTCAGGAGTGTTCTATATCTAAGAAAATGCCCAGCTGCTTTCCAGCCAGCTTCACTGTTGTGAGTGCCCTCTGCAAGGTCACCTATTCTTCCTATAGATTCTGTTGAGCTCCAGGGCTGTCCTATGCATCTGGCCCCTGAGGAGGGCAAAGGAGGTGTAGGCCTTGGCAGCCCTTCCTTCTCTGTGGCCACGTACTTGTCTGGGCAGCAGGCAGGGTGGCATCCCCAGTGGCTGCAGCCAGAGAGGACTGGGATAATTCCTGGGTGTCTGTGGGTCTCCCAAGGCTCTGACCTCTGTCCTCCTCTACCTGCAGCAGCAGCAGGAAATGCTGGCCTTGAAGCACCAGCAGGAGCTGCTGGAGCACCAGCGGAAGCTGGAGCGGCACCGGCAGGAGCAGGAGCTGGAGAAGCAGCACCGAGAGCAGAAGTTGCAGCAGCTCAAGAACAAGGAGAAGGGCAAAGAGAGTGAGTGCCGGGCAGGGGGCGAGGGGGGGAGCAGTGTAGCGGGGGCACACCAGCCGTTCATCCATGCCCTGTTGCCAATACCTTGTGCATGTGACAAGCACCTGCAAAATCCTGCCATTCCCCCAATTCTCTGTGGTTAGCCATAAGGCCTGCCTCCCTCCCTCCCTCCCTCCCTCCCTCTTCTTTTTTGAGACAAGGTCTCATATAGCCCAAGCTGCCTCAGTCTCCAGAGTGCTGAGATTGTGTGTACCACCACTCCCAGTTTCTGACAGTTTCTTAGTAAAAATATTTTCAACATATTCTTAAAGCTTTTTGAAAACTTCACCCTCTAAAATTCTTAAATATTGAACATACCTAAAATAATAATTGACAAAAAACTTTTTAGAGCATACATGAACACACAGCAGAGAATTCAGTGGTGTCTATACTGTAGTGTAAAGAAAAAGGCATCCTGCTCCCTGGGACATTCTGACTGGCCCCACCCTGGTCTCAGCCCTCCCCTTGCTCTCTGGAAGTGTCTGCCCTGCACGCTCACAAGTTTTTAGTTCAGTTTTATTGTCTCTATTGCTTAAACAATGTTTTTTACTGTACGTGCATCTTAGCATTGTGTCTGTGGGTCACAAAGCAGGCTCCCCCTGCAGCTTGCCCTCTGTCTCCTTGTTTCTGCTCACCTAGACTGTGACGTGGATGAGTATGCTGTCACTCTTGTCCATGCTGTGTCACATCTACTGGTGGGTGCTACACTTCGCTTCCCTGTTTGTTACCAGCTGTCATTTGGAGTGCCGCTGCAGGACCAGGTGACGTCTATGCCTCTGGGAGAGGCAGACCGCCTCCAGGATAGCGTGTGCTGCATGTTGTATAGATTTATCAGTCCAGTGCAGCCAACAGAGAAGAACCAGTAGGGAGTGAAGACAGCGGGCAGCTGCTTGCCTGCGCTGGCTGTGGGGCTGCCCAGGGAAGCTTGGGGCCTGCAGACCTTTGGCTGGGAGGGACTTCAGGTGGGTAGGCCTTCAGAAGGAGGAGCTGTGGTGAGGCAGGATTTCAGATGGACAGGCTAGAACTCCCTAGACCAGAAGTCAGTGGGATCTGGTTCACGGGTGAAACCTCAGTCTTGGTTCAGGTTTTCCGATCAGTGGAGTCCAGGCCACTCAGGTGACCTTAAGTACAGTACAGTCAGTGCCTACTTTTCTCACATCCCAAAAGACCCTTTAGCAATACCATTAGCATTTAACTGTATGACGGTGGCCAGGCCCAGCTGATCAACACTTCCAAAGAAACCCCACCAGATAGACATGCTGCACTATTCCTGCCTCACCCATCCTGTTCCCCCCAGCAGGTAGGGAAGGGGTGGGAGGACCACTACTCCAGATAGCCTGCCCCAGAGGGACGGGGAGGGACACGTGACCCTTGTTACAGAGCTGTAGCACATGTGGGCCCTGGAGCAATCACAGGAGCTGGGTTTTTTTTGTTTTGTTTTGTTTTGTTTTTTCTTTTGGGTGAAGGGACTCAGGGTTTGAGTTTGACTCTGAAGAGCCTACCGTAGTGACACAGTGGAGGGGCAGAACAGAGCAGACTCAGGAGTCTGCCTCTCTGACTCAAGGAAGAGGTGTTAATGCACGAGGAGCACTAAGATCCATAGGTTCTAAGCATGTTTGGAAGGGGGTACCACCAGGATTTACTGAGCTTGCACACTGAGCCACTGGACTATGGAGTTGCCACATAGTCATCCTGAGGTGAGATGTGGGGGGAGCAGTCTGGGAGGTGCAGTCCATAAGCAGCCTGTATAGCCTGCCCATGCTCAGCCCCTCACTGTAGGATGTGACTGCACTGACCAATCAGGAAGTGGCCTCTTCAGCTGCTGTGCTCAGTCCTGCTCATAGGGACACTGTGATGAAAATCTACCATGCAGGCAGACCCCCCAGATTCTTTACCTTCAAATAGTGAACTTTCTGTGTGAATTTTAATCCACATCTCTGCCACACCACAAGATGCTTATGCTTTAAGCAACTTTGTAAAGTCTGTTGTTTGAAGTTGTTCGACACTCTCTTTGGTATGTGATACATAGACAGATGTGCTTCAGAGAATAAGGAATGGTTAGGAAGTTAGCATGCTCACACCTGGGGACCCTCTACCCAACAGAGCTCAACAGGGCTTTGGGATCTTTGTTCTTCTTCTGTGGTGTCTGGGAGTTCTCAAAGCCATTCTGGTAGCCAACATTCCCACCAGCCACACAGGAGCACTTCTGTTGCTTCCTCCTTCCCAGCCCAGGGCCACCTGTCCTTGTGTCCCAGCTCTGTAGTGGTCCCTGCTGGCATCTGGAGCTGCCTTTCCCTGATTACTAGGGAGGGACAGCGTGAGGCCCTGCTGCTGGCCACGGAAGTGAGGGCTCCCCTTCTGGCAGTATCCTGCCAGGTCTCTTGTCCATGCTTCTCAGAAGCTGTCTCCCCTTTCTTGGTGCAGAGCTGTTCCTTGTACATTCTGGAATGAAGTTCTCATGAGTTGTATGTTGTTGGCCCCTTGGGAGGCGACTTTCGCTCATGATAGTGTTTGTTCCTGCACAGGATTCTCAGTTCCAGCTTAGTCCAGTTCCTCAGTCTCCTTTGCAAACCTTTGAGCTGCATTTCAGAAACAGTTCCCTTCCCAAACTCAGAGTGTGCTCTTTTGTCATTGTGTAGCACCTGCATCATTTCCCACTCACATGTGAGCTTCCATTCCGCTGGAATTGGTGTATGTGGCATGTTGTTTCTGAGGGCTGTGCAGCTGCTCCCCTCAGGAGATCTCTGATGCCAGGACCTCTTTACCTGCCTTTCTGCGCCTCTTAGTTGTGTCTGCTTCTTTGCTGTCCTGTATCAGTATGCATAGTTCAGTCATCACAGCTTGGAAGTGAGTCTGAGCCCAACAAATGCCAAGTGTCCTGTTCTTGGCACTTTGTTGTTCCATTGAAAGTCTCAGAACTGGCTGTTGCCATCCACACAGGTCCTGGGGTTCCCTAGTGCACTGACTGTGGATCCAGTTGGGAAGACACAATATATTTGCAGCTTTGATTATTCCTAACCATCCTGTGCTTGTTTAGATCTTTTAAACTTTTTCTTAACAAAGTGTTAACATTTTGTATGCAGGGGGTGTGCATACATTTTAGCAGGTGTGTCTCAAGACATCTGATTGGTGTGATACTACTGTCTATGGCTCGGTTTTACTGTTTTGAAAAGCAATCGGTAACCTGCTTACTCTTGACGCTGTGCCCAACAACTTGCCAAATTCATGTATGCTTGACAGATGGCTGATTCAGGTTTTCAACCTATAGAAGCGTGCTACATATCACTACTGGTAGGTCTTTTCCTTCTTTATTTGACTGGAATGTTGGGTTACAGATGGCAGCAGGCCTCTGCCTGGCTTCCCTTCACTGGTACAGGCCACATTTTCCAGAGGGACTTGTTCATTGACCTACTTGTTTATCAGGTTCCCTCCTTTCCTAGTTTATTATGAATTTCAGTATGAATGGGTATTGATTTTTATCAGATATTTCAAAATCTTTCAGAGGTGGTCATAGGATTTTTTTTATCTAGTATATTTGGGTAATGTGGTGAATAGATTTATTTGAATAGAAATTCCATCTGGTGCTTTTGGGATAGCCTCTCTCAACCTGGTCCCAGTCATAAAACATGATCTTTTTATGTGTTGCTTGATTGGCTCTTATTTTGTGTGCTTACCACTGCTCTCGTGACTGACTGGACTGTCCCTTCTAGTGACACCCTCGTGAGGTTTGGTCTGCAGAGCAGGCCTTACACGGAGCATCAGTTTTTCTTGTGCTTAGTATGGGATGACTTTTAAGTGTTTTGTGACATTTGCTGTTAAGAGATCCAGCCCTAAGGTTTTCATTATGCAAAGGTTTTTGATAATATATGCAATTTTTTAAATATAGGACATTTTGGGGGCTGGAGAGATGGCTCAGCGGTTAAGAACACTGGTTGTTCTTGCAGAAGACCCGGGTTCGAATCCCAGCACCCACATGGCAGCTAACAACTGTCCATAACTCCAGTTCCAGGGGATCCAACACCCTCTTCTGACCTCTGTGGCATTGCACAACATGGGTACACTCACATGCATGCAGGCAATACACGTATACACATAAAATAAAAATAATAAAATTTTAAAAAATATATAGGACTTTTTTTTTTGCTCTTGCATCACTGTGGGTAAGTTGTAATTTTTAATGCATTTTAGACTTGCTGATATTTATTATCATGTCTCGCTGACCTTTTTGGTGTCTGTATGGTCTGTAGTGCTCTCCTTTGACCTCCTCAGTCCTGGGTACTTGCACCTAGTCTTTGGTTGCTGTTTGGTGTCATTATTTTTCTCCACTAATCTGTCTTGTCAGTCTAGATGTCTCTTTGGAAATCTGGCTTTAAACTTTATGGATTCAGTTCTCATAGATGGGTTTCTACTTTATTCATTTCAGCTGATCTTTTTCTTAACTTTTTTTTGGTTTAATTCTGACTTTTTCCCTAGCCTTATGAGACACATCCCTAAACTATTGATTCCAGCCCTTCCTTCTGCTGCCATCTGAACGCCAAGCCGTAAATTCACCTCTGGGGACAACGCCAATGTTAAGTGATTTCGTCCTTTTATGTTCAATACAGTATTGATATGTTTATATGTGTGTCATTGTACTTCATAGTCAACTATTCTAATCCCACTTTCCTGCTCTAGACTTGTATAGTGATAGCTTTCCTTCCCCACCTGCTTGGTAATGAGTTGCTGTCACATCATTCCCTGTGCCAAGTACAGTTGTGAGTACCAGGTCCAGCCTGACCCCACCAAATCCAGTCCACGTTGGTGCTTTTGTCTGAGACAGGGTAAGGCCGTGGCCTGTTTGCTGCTCTGACTCGGTCTCACCTTCAGATTCCCAGAGTCCTGTATCCAGTTAGGCTCACATCCTCCATGTGTCCATCTCCATGTGGCTGAACTTGTTGTCTGGGATGCCTGTCTTTAGTGGAACC